TTTTTTTTTGGTTTTTCTCCGGTACTGGGAACCGAACTCACGACCTTGCGCTTGCCAGGCAGGCGCTTTTGCCGCTGAGCTAAATCCCCAGCCCCAAGTGCAGGGATTAAAACTGCGTGCCACCATGCCCGGTTTGATACCAGATTTCAAGTGACACTTAACCTTATGGTCATAGTCTCTCTCCCCTGGAAGGCCTATGAGCTCCGCAAGGGCAGGGACTTTTTTGTTTGTGTGTTTGTTTGGTTTTGCTCCACCACACCTCGCTTTTAACTATGTACTTACTAAAAGCAGAGCGTCCGTGTGACATCCTGTGCAGTGACACTGCTTGGACTCGCTGGCACCAGCACAGAAGGACGCTGGGAAAGACGCAGACCCAGCCCTGGGCGCTGTGGTGCGGAGTTAAGACAGGGAGGTTTGAACGCCAGAGCGCAGGGGTCCCGTTTAGGGGCACTGGTTCTAGCAGGGCTTTCGGCTTTTCATCCAGGATGAGGACAGAGCTCCCCACCTGCTGGGAGTCTCTGTGAGACTGACGAAGGACTCAGCACAGGAAGTGTGCAAAAAGCGCTGAAGTAGAACACGCTGCTTGGGACTGTGACTGACTGCAAACCATACCGCCGTCCTAAAAGCGCGATTGTTATCCCCGCTTCAGAGCTGAGGGCATGGACGCTCTTGGAGGCCCGAGTGGTGGGCCGAGGTTGCCCCTCTCCTAAAGGGTCTTTTTGGTGCAGAACCCCTTAATTCTGTCATTGCCACTTGGTAGTCAATACTTTTTATTTATTATTTTATTTTATTTTTGTTTTTTTTCCGGTACCAGGGATTGAACTCATGACCTTGTGCTTGCCAGGCAGGCGCTGTGCCGCTGAGCTAAATCCCCAGCCCCGGTCAATACTTTTTAGTTACAAAATAATACAGTTGACTGTAAAAGCTCCCAAGATTCTAGGAGGACAAAAAAGGCAGAGGACAGCATCCTCACTAAGCGTCCCGTCTCCTGCTCTAGAGGACCCTCCTTGGCAGTTTTCTTGCTTTTCCAACCCTTCTGGAAGCCCTTGACCATGGAAACACCGCACAAATATGCTCGCTGGGACCCAGCTCTGGTACTTTCAGGGGCTGTCCTGCCCTGGCTCTGCCACCTCCTGCCAGCCTTTGCTTGCATGCTTTTAGTGACAGGGAGCTCATTACTGCACAGGCAGCAGGCTGGCTGTTCCACAGGCAATGCTGCTTGCCCAGGAGCCTTTTGTATCAGCTCCAAATTGGCTTCTTGGTGACCTCCTGGTTTCAGTCTTGCTTTAAGTGCTTTATATACATGGACCTATTTCATCCTCAACAACTCCACAAAAGCGGGACCATTATAACCACTGCTGATGAGGGAATCGAGGACATAAACAGTCCTTTGTTTGCTGGGCATGGTGGTGAGAGCCTGTAATCCCAGCACTTGGGAGGCTGAGGCAGGAGGATCATTGCAAGTTTGAAGCCAGCCTGGGCTACAAAGTGAGCTCAAGGCCAATGAGATCCTGTCTCAAAAAAAAGACAACAACAAAAAAAGAGTCCTTTGTCCCAGATCCTGCAGTGTAGAGGGGTGGAGCCAGGGTTCAAACTGTGCCCTGACGCTCTCCGGACCAGGACAAGGCGCGAAGCTCCCTTGACTCTGGACCTCAGAGTCAGTCCCAGCCTGCAGCAGGGCTCCGTGCAGGCCAAACGGGAGAAAGAGACGGCCGCTCCTTGCTCCTCAGCAGCCTCCTGCCCCTCTCACTCCCGCCAGCGCCCATCCGAAGCGTCCCCAGTGACATACACCGGCCCCACTGTCCTTCATGAGAAGGGCTCAAGCTGGGAATGGCAGGGACGCATCCATGACAGCTAAACCCCAAAGCCTGTGAAACGACGGCGTCTGCCCTGGTGCGCACCAGGGATGGTTACAGGATTTGCTCGGAAGCCTAGGGCACAGGGGGTGAGCTGGCGGGACATCCAGGAGGATAGGTAGGGGTGGCACCAAGGGGGAGAGGAGCGCAGGGACAGAGGTGGTCCCCCAGGCCAGACTCCAGGACTCCCCGCCTCTCGTGAGGATCTGGGAGGTTTGGGGCTGAGCCGGGTGGGCCCAGAGGGGTGGGCGTGGCCCTGGCAGGTGCGCATGGTCAGGGGTGAGTGTGGCTGGGGCTGGATGAGTGAGGCCAGGACCAGAGTGGGCGTGTCTGGCTGGTGTGGGTGTGGCCTCGTGGTGGGTGTGGCCCGACTCACGCCCCGCCCCCAGGATGGCTACATAGACTTCATGGAGTACGTGGCTGCGCTCAGCCTGGTCCTCAAGGGGAAGGTGGAGCAGAAGCTACGCTGGTACTTCAAGCTCTACGACGTCGACGGCAACGGCTGCATTGACCGGGACGAGCTGCTCACCATCATCCGGGTAACTGCAGGTGCAGAGGGCCAGCGGGGCGCGGCCACCTTTGGGACGAGGCGGGAGTGGGATCCGAGAGTCAGGGACAGCTTCACCCCTCACCGGCGGGGTGATCGCTCCTCATGGGGCTCAGTGTCCCCGCCGGGCTGCGTGCCTCACTCTGCTCGCCTTCCCCAGGCCATCCGCACTATCAACCCCTGGAGCGACACCGGCATGAGTGCGGAGGAGTTCACAGACACCGTGTTCGCGAAGATCGACGTCAACGGCGACGGTGAGGGCGCAGGCACAGGGGTGGGAGTGACGGGGCACAAGGTGGGGTCAGCAGGGGTGGGAGGTCAGGGGGCACAGGGCAGGGTCAGCAGCCGAGGCGGTCACGGCGAGCCTGAGGGACCCTCTACTGGCTACCGGCCCACCCGTCCCTGGCCCGGCCGCAGATCTGGTCTTTGGGGAACCCCCTGACCTCATCACCCATCTCGGGGCCCTGGACGGCGGGCGTGACCCCGGCCCCGCGGCCCCTCTCTACCCCAGGGGAGCTCTCGCTGGAGGAGTTCATGGAGGGCGTCCAGAAGGACCAGATGCTGCTGGACACGCTGACCCGCAGCCTGGACCTCACACGCATCGTGCGCAGGCTGCAGAACGGCGAGCAGGAGGAGGCTGCGGCCGATGGGGCGGGGGCAGCGGGCTGAGCCGGCCCCTGGATGGGGTGGGGGAGAGGCCCAGGCGGTGCCCTGTGTCACATATTTTAATATTACACAGGACCCACCGGCTCACAGGCTCAGCTCGCCTCTTTGGGGTACGTGGGGGTAGCAGAGGGGCTGGAGGTGGCGTCCAGGGTGGGCTTGGGAGGATGGATCCTGGGACCTCCAGGGCTCTGTCGGTTCTGCATCCCTCCACCTTGGGGATCCTCACCCCAGCCACTTCTAGAGTGGGGCCTCCCTGGGTCTCTGGAGAGTCCTGCACAGCTGCAGCCCCAGAGGTCAATGAGGGGCAGCTGCACATCCTCCCTGGGACCTGGAGCCTACCTGTGCAGTTTGCACTGATTTAGCCTTCCTGCCACAAGCAGTTATGAGCATCTGCTGTGCACGGTGCAGATGCTAATAGACAAAGACGACAGTTCTAGTGCTTAAGGGAACGCAGTGGGAAGAACCCAGTGGGACGCACGTGGACAAGCATCATGTGGATAGAACTCGTGGAGAAGCTGTGAAGTTAGTGCTCTCTGTCAGAAGCAGCGGCACAGCAGTGACCTCTTACCTTGAAACGGGTTGGAGGTTGCAGGTGAAGAGGAGCACTTGGGGGCATTCTCTGTGATGTGTGCACCGCGTGGGGAGCTGTGTGATGCGGCAGGGTGGCTCTAAGGGGGAGGGATCCCTTTGGATTTCAATTTTACAAAGCCAGGCATGGTGGCACAGCCCTGTAATCCAAGCACTTGGGAGGCTGAGGCAGGAGGATCCGTGAGTTCACTGGACTACATAGTGAGTTCAAGGCCAGCCTGAACTACAATAGAGAGATTCTGTCTCAAAAAAAAGTTTTCCAACTTTACCAAATTTGAAACAATAGGAGTCATCATGGTCATTTTTAGGGAGCTCCGCCCAGGGGCTACTAGGAAAAACCCACATCTCCTTCGAGAAATGTGTAACCCTACCAGGGAGACAGGGACGGGATGTCTGGAGGACAGTGCAGGCCCGGGTGGAGTGAATGGAGAGCAGTGCACATGTGCAGGCGAGCGCACACGTGTGTGTGTGTGTGGGGGGACTTCCAGACACTCTGGGAGGGTTTGCTCCAGTTTGGCGCTGGCCCCCAAGTGAAAGCAGGCAGAAAGCGCTCCCTGATGCCAGAGCTTCCTGCGTCCACACGTGGTAGCTTGTGGCGCCATGCAGTTCCCACGGATCAGCAGCCCACTGCTCATTCCAGATGGCCCGGCCGTCCCTGCTCTGATCTAAATTTCATGCCAGGGTGACACCGGGCGCTCCCGGGGAAGCAGGACAGCCCATTGCGGGTGGGTGCTGTCCCGGTCCCCTGCACACCTCTACTTTAAGCAAAACCAGCTCAGAGATCTGCAGCCCAAGGCTGGCTTGATCAGCTCCACCTGATTACAGCTGCCTGGTTGCCATGGGAGCCTCCGGGTGACATGGGCTGGAGCAGCTGCAACCCTTTTTTCAGAAATGCCCTTTCTTCTGGGCTTCACCTCTTCACTTTAGCTGGGGGAGGGGAAGGAAGGCAGGGGAGTAAATAAAAACCCAAGGGGGCGGGGAGAGGAAAAAGGGGGAGGGGATGGGAATGCGGGTCAGGTCATGTGACCCCCTTCTGAGCTGGGACAAGAAGGTGCATTTCTGTCACTGCCGAGGACAGGGACGTCAGCCGGGGCCCAGGGGGACAGGGAGCTGTGAGTTCTGGTCCCTCTCTTGCTTGTGGCCTCCTGGGAAATCCTGGGGCTCACAGTTGGGAGGGCGTCTGCCTGTCAGAGAGCAGCAGTCTCCGGCCTCATCCACAGGCTACCCGCATGGTGTGGGGCCTATTTCTGTCCCTCCTGGGATAGAATTAGCATTGTTGGGTAGTTTTAAACATTTTATTGGTACATTTTAGACACACATAATGGTCACATTCATCATAGGGGAATTTGCGCCTGTACATGATATATCTTGCTTCTTTTTCTTCCCATTCTCCTCCCCTCCCTTCAATCCTTCTTCCTTTAGAATTAGTTTTTTCCTTTTTTTTTTTTTTTTTTCTTTTTGAGACAGGGTTTTGCTATGCAGTTCAGGCTGGCCTTGAGCTCACTAAGTAACCCAGGCTGGCCTGAAATTTACAGTGATCTTCCTGCCTCAGCCTCCTGAAGGTTGGGATTACGGGTGTCTACCACCATGCCTGGCCTACAATTAGTATTTTTAATCAACCATTTTCAATCTAAAATTGATTTCTAAATGAGCACCATATGAAAATTGTACCTATGAAACCTGGGGTTCTATACATGAGTTTGATATTTCATGCTTCAATATAAAAATGTATCTAAATTGAAGGTAAAGAAAATGCTCTTGCAGGTCCCACAGGAAATTGTCTCATGAGGTAACCCTGCCCTGGGATGCTGGTTTCTACTTTCTGTTCTTGGAGGGGTCTGAGCTGCTCGGCCCTCTGCGAGTAGAGGGACTCTCTTTTAATCTGGTTTCTACACTGGGATTGCACAAAAGAGTTTATATAACAAGAACAACAAAATTCCACACCTAAAAGCAATAGTCTAAAAGCTGCAGGGGTATAGCTCAGCGGCACAGCACTGCCTGGCAAGCACAAGGTCCTGAGTTCGAGTCCCCATACCAAAAATAAACAAATAAATAAAAGCTGCTCATTTAGTCCAACCTGCTCAAGTCAGGGAGGAGAACTGGCCGAATAGGGCCCCACAGCCACTGGAGGCAAAGCCTGGTCCTGCACCCAGGTCGGCAGGCCCCCCATTGTCCCCAGAGACAGAGAGATGCTTCTTCCACCCTTCAAGGGAGGGGTGAAGGTCCAGGCTGAAGGGAGGGGCAGGCAGGTGGTGGGAGCCAAGGAGAGGGGCGGAGCCGACACAGCCCTGTTCCAAACGCAGCCCCCTCGGGCAGAAGGACCGCAGCTGTCTCGCCGTAGTGTCCTCTTGGTGATACCCCTGGGAGGACGCCTTGAGGGGGGTCGGAGGGTCCTCCCCACGGGCACTGCTGGGGAGTCTGGGAGGTTGTGATTGTGACCCCCCCAACACACACCCTACATGCAGCACTTCCAGCCCCTGCTTCCTGTGTCTTTGCTTCCCAAAATATGGGTGCTCGCCTTGCTGATCCGCTTAGGAGACCCCCTTCCCCAGCCGGGCCCCGCTTCCCACTGAGGACTCCTGGAACTGTGTGGGACCCCACGTCCTCCAGTGAGGCACAGTTCTCCCGGGAGCAGCTGAGGGGCTGAGCAGCCGAGTCCCTTTCAGACCCTAGTATGCCCTGCATAGGGGACTGAGCCCCCTTGGCCAGCTTGGGGACTCCCTTGGGGTGCGGGGTCAGAACATGGCACTTTTCCGCCTCTGCTGGGTGATCCAGCCGCCAGGGTTCACATCCATCTGCAACATCTTCATCACCCACTGGTCGCGACGGGCACCCTCGATGAACTCATCCAGGGACAGCTGGCCTGGGAGGGGGCGGATGGTCACTGGAGCAGGGAAGACTGGGACAGGGGCAGGGGCAGGGGCAGGGGCAGGATAGGCACAGAGGCCTTCTCTCCTGGGACCTTGCACCTCCTCTACACACCAGCTGCAGTCTCAGCCCGAAGCCCGTGGTTGGTCCACCCTTGGATTTCCCAGGAGCCCCCCTGGAGCCTGGGGGCTTTCTTGGCAGATGAACTGCAGTTTTCCGGTTGCCCCCAACACCTCTGAAATGCTGAGACTCCCAGGAAGGCTTAAAGGAGGTTTCCCTACCTGGCCTTTTTTTTGTGGTGTTGGGGATTGAACTGAGGGCCTTTGCACTAAACTACATTCCCAGCCCTTTTTATTTATTTAAAACTATATTTTATGAGACAGGGTCTCACTATGTAGTTCAGGCTAGTCTTAAACTTCAGTTGATCCTCCTGTCTCAGCCTCCCTAGTACTGGGGTTGCAGGTGTGTGTTACCATATCCAGCACCTTCTCGGCTCTTAAACACAAGCCCATAAGTTCCCTTGGCCACCCTCATCATCTGCATCTTCTTGGCAAGGACACGGAGACCAGGCTGAGGCCAAGAGTTGTCCCTGTTTTCTTTTTTTGTTTTTTTCTTTTTGAGACAGAATGTTGGTGTGCAGTTCAGGCTGGCCTTGAGCTCACGTTGTAGCCCAGGCTGGTCTTGAACTCGAAATAATCGTCCTGCCTCAGCCTCCCGAGTGCTGGGATTACAGGCGTGCGCCACCACGCCTGGTCGTCATCCCTGTTTTCTCCTTGAAGCCTGGCCCCTGTCCGTAGCTGCCGGGGTTGACAACACCAATGCCCGAGGTGCCCTTTGCTATTTCACGCCATCCTCCCCTCTGCTAGTTCCCAGTGAAGGGTTCAGTGGTAGGAAGTGGGGGTCTCCAGGCCCTGCCAGGCACTGGGGTGCTGAGGAGTGGACAGCTCATCCCTGCCCCCTTCGCTCACCATCCCCGTTCTCGTCCACCAGGAGGAAAATCCTGTCCACCACCTCCTCGGGGGTGAGCAGCTCCCCATTCTTGTCCTTGGCTGTCTCCACCCGGCAGGCTTTCTTCAGCTTGTAGATCGACTGTGAGGGGGAGAACGCGGCTGCTCTGACCCTGCAAGCTCCACCCCACCCCACGGCCTGGTTGTCCCCGGAGCTGCTCCAGGGCCTGGCCGGGACTGTCCCAGCCAGATCCAAGTCCTCAGCAAAGTTCTAAGGCGACACCTGACACAGTGCACCCCCCGGGTGCCCAGGAGGGAAGTGGCTCATGGGGAGTCTGCACCCCCCATGGAGACGGGAGAGAAGCCCTGAGCAGATCCACAGCAGTGTCTCGGGGATGACTGATGTGGTGTCGGCTTCTCCACCTGTCTGCTGCACCATGAGATGGCCTCTGTGAGGCCACAGCAGGCAGATGCAGGAGGCACAGAGGCGCCTGAGGGTCTCCGCAGCCCCTGCCTGGTGCTCTGAGGACAGAGGCCACCTCGCCTTGCTCTCCTGGCCTCACTGGGGGTGTCAGGAGCGCTGGGCCTCCCCCAAATCCAGCACTTCCTGCGTAGACCGTGACAACCTCTAGGAGGCCATTTCCCACCTCACAGTAATTCCAAGACCTGGAGCTGGGGGAGGTTCCATACCACTCTTCCGGTTTTTTTTTTTTGTTGTTTTGTTTTGTTTTTTTGAGACAGGGTCTCACTATGCAGTTCAGGCTGGGCTTGAGCTCACTGTGTAGCCCAGGCTGGCCTTGAACTGGTGGTGATCCTTCTGCCTCAGCCTGCAGATTGCTGGGATTATAGGTGCTCGCCAGCACACCCACCTTAATACATACATTGTAAAGCCATGCATTTCTCTGAGGTCAGATTTAGCTGTGCTCCATATCTGTATTATCATTCGGTTCAAAATACTGTGCATGTGTGCATGTGTCTGTGTGCATGTGTGTTTGTGTGTGCATGTGTCTGTGTGCATGTGTGCGTGCATGCGTGCGTGCGCATGTGCAGGAGCCTGTGTGTTTCCTTGGTTCATGGACTGCCTACTTGGAAGTGTGCTGCCTAATTTCCAAACAGACAGAAATGTCCACCTTATCTCTCTGTAACTGACGTCCAGCTGGCGACCTCAGTGGTCAGGAAACACATTCTGAACTCGCTCCATGCCCTCCCAGCCCCAGCCCCGTGGTGCCCTCTTCCGCAGCCCTCGGGGCCCGGAAGATGGAAAGCCCAGTGCCCACCCCGCGCAGGACCCGCACCTCCACGATGTCCAGCAGCTCCAGGCGGTCGATGCAGCCGTTGCGGTCCTTGTCGTAGATCTTGAAGGTCCACCGGAGCTTGTGCTCCAGCGAGCCCCGCAGCACGAGGTTCAGGGCCGCCACGTACTCCAGGAAGTCGATGGTGTCGTCCTGTGCAGGGTGAGGTCGGTGAGTGCTGGGACTCCACACGTGCTGCTGCCCGGCTGCACACAGAGACTTTAAGCTGTGCGTTTCCTCTGGGTCATCAAGTGGGAAAGGTCTGCTCCCCACTCAGTCTCTTCTCCCCTCACGCCTCCCCTCTTATCTTCCTCCCTTCTCTCTCTTCCCTTTCTCTCTCTTCCCTTTCTCTCTTTCTCTTTCTCTTTCTCTCTCTTTCTGTCTCTCTCTCTCTCTCTCTCTCTCTCTGTCTCTCTGTCTCTCTGTCTCTCTCTCCTTTTGACAAGGTCTCACTATATAGTTCAGGCTGGCCTTGAACTCACTATGTAGCCCAGGCTGGTCTTGCAGTGATTTTCCTGCCTCAGCCTCCCGAGTGCTGGGATTGCAGGCATGTGTCACCCACCCAGAGCTATGAACTTGTCAAGAAATGAAACTCCTTGATACAAAGATTGTACCCAAGTGAGGAATGGAAAGAGTGTGGGTTTGGAGACAGAGACGAAGTAGGAAAGAGAAAGCTTTCCCAGGGACCGGCAGAGGAGGTGAACACCTTCCAGAAGCTCTTCCTCCCGCAGAATGCCAGCTAATGGACAGGGAGGGTGCTGGCATTAGAAAACCGTCAAACTTGGGAGCCAGGCGTGGTGGCGCACACGTGTAATCCTGGCACTCAGGAGGCCAAGGCAGGATTGCTGTGAGTTCGAGGCCAGTGTAGGCTACATAGTAAGTTCATGGCCAGCCTGCACTACATGGTGAAGCCCTGCCTCAAAAAACAAACAAAAACCAAAAAAATCATTTAAAAAAGAGTCTTAATTGTGCCTTCCCTCACTTTCTTTTTTTTTGAGACAGGGTCTCGCTATGCAGTTCAGGCTGGCCTTGAGCTCATTTTGTGGCTTTGTAGCCCAGGCTGGTCTCAAACTCACAAGGATCCTCTTGCCTCAGCCTCCCGAGTGCTGGGATTACAGGTGTGCACCACCATGCCCAGCTTCCCTCACCTTCTAAGGTAAGGGTAAGGTAGGAGCATGCGGCCTTGGGCAAATCAGTTTGGTTTCTTTTGCCCTGGTTTTCACTGCTCTGCCCCACAGGGCTGCAGCCTGGGAGGGGCTGAGGTGAGGAAAGGGGGCTCTGAGCCCTGGGGAGGCCGACAGGGGGTCCCGTGTGGTTCTGTGGCTGCCCTCCCTTCCTGACTGGGACCAGGGGCAGGCCCAGACCCAAATGGCACTCCAAAGTTCTCCAGATTGACCCTCGGGTCCACCCCATCCCCTCAAAGCAGCGGGCGGCAGCAGGACCTGGAGACAAACCTAAAGGACTGTAGGGGCCTGGGCTGGGTAAACTGGGGTAGCCAAGGGGTTTTCGCTGAGTTGATTCCACACTTCCCCAGCAGTTACTATCTTCTTAGCTACAGATGTCATTGCAAGGGTTTTTTTTTTTTTTTTTTGGTACCGGGAATTGAGCTCAGGACCTTGTACTTGCCAGGCAGGCGCTGTGCCGCTGAGCTATGTCCCCGGCCCCACTGTAAGGTTTGGGAAATCCTGGGGTTTGCTTGATTTTATGAAAGCCGGAGTGAAAAGTGCTCCTGCAACTACCTATCCACTTTGCTCCTCTCGCACCTGGACAGGAAGACCCGGCCAGTCTGTTGGAAGGACGCAGCGAGGGACAGGGACAGAGCCCCCATCTCACGGCTCATCCCACTTTGCTTGGAGCGACCGGTGGGTGTGAAAGGCAGGTCCTTGGGCTGCAGAGCCTCGGCCAAAACTCCCCACGGAGAAGCCAGTCCTGCCGCCACCGCCTCCAGCCCCGGGGAAGGGGGAGGGGGACTCCGCGACAAGGCACCAGGGAGGACAGGAGCGTGGGATGCCAGGGGAGTTTGGGGAAAGGTTGGTTAGGGACGGGGTGGGCACCGGTGGTCTGGCCGAAGGTCCCCCCGAGAGCCTTACCCCGTTCTTGTCGAAGGCCCGGAACATGCCCTCCACGTACTGGCTGGCACTCTCGTCGCCTGTGACCTTGAAGAGGCGCTTGAACTCGTGCATGAAGAGCGTGCCGCTGGGACACTCCACCACGAACCGCTTGTACCACTCCTGGAGCTCGGCCACGTCCATCTCACCGGCGTCCGCCTCCTCCCAGCTGAACTGCTGTCCCATCCCGCCCCAGGAAGGTCGGCAGCGGTCTCCTCGGGGCTCTGCTCGCCGATTCCTTAGACCAGGGCTCTGCGCCTCCCTGTCCTCCGCGGGTCCAGGCTCTGCGTGGGGCCCCGCGGCTGAATGCTGTGGGCAATGTGAAAGGGGGCCGGGAGGGGTGGCCTGCCCCTAAGCTGCTCTAAGGCCATTAGGAGATTCTGCAGGGCTGACCTCCCCAGTGGGTCGAGCTTTCCCCCGAGCCCCGCCTCCCGGCCCCAAGATTGCAAAGAGGAGAGGAGTAAGAGACAGGCAGAGCAGCGTGAGGGACGCAGGGTGAGAGCCGTCCTGCGGCCCTGTCACCCGGCCCCGTGGTGGACACCGGGCAGCCCCACAGCGGCGCAGCCCTGGGACACAGAGACGCTGAAGTTAGAGGGGAAAGAGACGACTCCCGGGCCGCAGAGGAGAATCTGGGCGTGGCCAGAGCCTCAGCCCGTGTCTGGTGAGGCCTGGCGGGGTCTCTGATAGGAAGCAGGTCCCGGAGGCAGCTGGGCCCCCTGCCCCATACTGGAAGCTCCCTTGATTTGAGTCTTATAGAAGCTTTTTGTTTTTCAGTTTCAGGCACAACTCCCTCCTCCAGGGCTTCATTCCCCTGGCTGCCCTCTGTCCTAGGCGGCCTGCATTTATCCCTTTCTCATGGGGCGTTTCTACCCTCATCCTGAGTGGCTTGAATGTCACCCGTATTAAAAGAGAGCAGAACAAGTTCGTGTGGTAGTGCACTCCTGTAATCCCAACACTCAGGAGGCTGAGGCAGGAGGATGGAGAGTTTGAATCCTGGGCAACTGAGTGGTTTAGTGAGACCCCGTCTCAAAATAAAAAAATTTAAAAGGGCTAGGGATATAGCTGAGTGTAAAGGCCCTGGATTTAATCCTTGACCAATTTTTTTGGTCTTTGGTTTTTTGGTTTTTTTTTTCCGGTACCGGGAATCGAACTCTGGACCTTGCACTTGCAAGGCAGGCGCTGTGCCGCTGAGCTAAATCCCCAACCCCCTAGATTTAATCCTTAGGGCTAAAAAAACAAGAACAAAAAAAGGATAGCTTTCTGCCTGTGTCTCAGGACCTTCCCCGGGAATGCAGTTACTAGTGTATGTGTGTGTGTGTGGGGGTGGAGCCACCAGGGCACTAGGCAGAACAGGCACTGTCCCCTGCAGGGCTTGCAGATCTGTGTGCAGAGTGAACATTGTCACTGCTTTAGGCCACTAAGCCTTGGATGTTTTCTTATTTTATTTTTTGTCTTTTTGAGACAGGGTCTCAGCTCAGGCTGGCCTTGAGCTCACTTTATAGCCCAGGTTGGCCTCAAACTCGCAACGATCCTCCTGCCTCAGCCTCCTGAGTGCTGGGATTACAGGCGTGGGCCACCACGCTCGGCTTGGATGTTTTCTAAGAAAGCAATGGATGACTGCGGCCCTCTCAAATCTTGCTGTATCTTTATTCCTGCGCTCCCCTCAGCCTGCTCTCCTTGTCCCTCCTGTCTCTCCCAGGAAAAGTCTTCTCTTCTTAAACTTCAGGTCTGAGGTCCTAGACTCTGCCACGTAAATGCACCAATGGCCCCTGTCCTCTGCTAGCCCCTCTTTCCATCAGTCTCTGAGGGCTCTGGGTCCCCACTGGTCCCCAGAGTCTTCCCTTGTACCTTGCTCTGTCCCTCACATCACATTCACTGTTTTGGCAATGCAGGCCACTTACAGGCTAAGCGGCACCACCTCTAGGCTGGCCCACTGCCCCGCACGCCCTGGATGCCTGCGCCCCGGCTGCAGACTCAGCGAGGCCAAAGCCTAACCAGTCCATGTGCAAGGTCCTCAGAAGCCTCTCCCGCCCTGTATGGCACCACCATTTCAGTAAGTGCTTAGGCGCCAGACGAGGGGTCATCCTCGACACCTCTCCTTCCCTCCACCTGTTAGCTCTCCCTCTACACTGCCCTTGGAGCCCAGCTACGGGTTATCAGCTCCATTGCTGCGACTCCAGCCTGCCGGCACCGTCTTTCTGATCCATTCAGGAGATCCCCTATGTCACTCTCCTCTCTAACCCAGTGGCCAGAGCAGCACTTTCTTTTTTTTTTGTCCTTTTGACACGGGGTCTCGCTATGAAGTTCAGACTGGCCTTGAGCTCACTTTGTAGCCCAGGCTGGTCTCAAACTTGCAACGATCCTCCTGCCTCAGCCTCCCCCGAGTGCTAGGATTACAGGCGTGTGCCACCACGCCCAGCACTTTCTTAAATCAGATCCTGCTGCTGTCCTGCTCTGAACCTCCTATAGCTTCCTGTCTACCTTGAGAATGGAATCCACCTGCCTTCCCGTGCCCACCATGCGTGACATGATCCAGCCCTTGCCCACTTCCGGCTTCACGGCCCCCAGGTCTTCTCTTTGGACACCACGCTTGTTCTCAGAGCCTTGGCACTGACTGCTCCTCCTGCTTGGATTGCCCTTCACCCACATCTTCGCTGGCTGCTTCCTTCTGGGTGTTCTCCTCTCCCCCAGAGAAAGCTTGCTCCTCCTCCAAGCAGACACTCTGACATTACCCGGTTTTATTTTCTCATAGCACTTCCCTGCATCTGGAATTACCTTATTTCCCTCTATTTGTTCTGTCTTCCACACTGATCTACCATCTTTGGGGACAGGGACTTCACCATGTCTACCACAGAACCCCCAGTGCTGACTCAGGGCTTGGCAGGAACACTTGTTGGGAGACTGAGCAAAGCACCTCATGGTCAGTGGTGAGTCGGGGGAGACATCAGTCCTTCACCTTATAACACTGCTCCTCCCAACTCCTTCCAGTCCCCCATTGAGCAGGTATTTGTTGAAGTGAGGCAGCAGAACCGGAAGACACCTTGGCCGTCACTCAGCCCACCTCAACACTCCAAGATGGCGCTGTCCATGAGCAGCCATGGCTGTCTACACCCAGCGTCTCAGCTGCTAGGCGGGAGGGTGCTGCTGTCCCTGGCCATGCCTTGCATTATTGTTATTTCAGCAACACTGAGGAGTGATGAAAGGGCGGTACTTGTGTTCGGGAAATTCTATGAATGAAACAGAACTTGATTTAGCACTTGGCTGAGGAATTCCAACTTTGGCTTCTCAAGGAGGTCAGTTGCCCGTGACCTGCCCTATAAATATCGCTGAGCTATTGAGGTATAAATATATCGTTTTAAAGAGGATTAAGAATCCAGAGAGAGAAATAATAGCTTGAAGTGAATCACAGTAGGAAGGATTTAAGGAAGGCAGGGGTAGGAACTGAGAAGGGGATTTGCAGGGAGCCCGGGGTTGCAGGCGGTCAGCCCTGGCCCTGGCTGCGGGGCGGTGTCTTTGAGTCCTGCTTCTCACCACCTCCATGCCAGGCTCCCGGGACCCGGGAGGACCTGCCCTGCTGAAGCCCGCGCTGTTGTGCTGCCCCTCGGTCACTCAGAACCAGTGTGGTGGGGCCACCAGGGCCGCACACTATATTCTGCTTCCTGCTGTTATGTCTCTCATTCGCTGACGTTCCTCTGATCTTTTCACTTCTAAGCATTAGAGGAAATGGGATAATCTGTTAAAGAAAAAGAGGAAAAAAATCTGGCAATTAGGTTTGAGTCTTGTTTTTAATATGTAGACATCTGAGTTCCTCACAGCCCCTTTGAGTGAGTTCTGGGGTTGTACCCGTCACTAACCCTGAAAACTTACACCAATCTTTTCTCTCTTTCTTTGTTTTCTTTCTTTCTTTCTTTGTTTTCTTTCTTTTTTCTTTCTTTTTCTTTCTTTCTTTCTTTCTTTTTCTTTCTTTCTTTCTTTCTTTCTTTCTTTCTTTCTTTCTCTTCCTTCCTTCCTTCCTTCCTTCCTTCCTTCCTTCCTTCCTTCCTTCCTTCCTTCCTCCCTTTCTTCCTTTCTTCCTGTCTTTCTTTCTTTTTTCTGTGTGTGTGTGTTTGGCTTTGGCATCATCCTTAAACTGAAAGGGTGGCTGACAGGGCAGATCACGGCTCTGGCACCGTGGCTTTCTCTCTGGAAGGGGATGACTTTAACAACACCCTCAAGTTGCTGCTAGGGAGTGAGCTGGACAGCATCTGTCCCTGGGAGAAGCTCAGCCTGCTGCATGGTGCCTGTGACGACAAGCACATCACACGTTTTCCACCTAAGGAACCTCACAGCCACACCCCAAGGTCTTGCCCTCCCCCTGCACCAGTGAGAGACAACGTGGGCTCCTTGCTCACCAGCTCCTAAACACAGCATCACCAGCATGGCCCTGTCACGTAACGCCTATCATTTATGGATCCTCTACACGTGCAAGGGGTAGTACCACCTATCTAACGTCTCAATCTTAGTAAGTAGGCCCTATTCCGTACATTTTGCAAATAAGTAAACTGGGGCTCTCACAGGGTTAAGGATCTTGTCTGCACTTAAAGCAACTTGTGCGTCTGTCTGACCCCAAAGCCCACACTTTGTCTACTCTGCTGCTCATTATTACAGTAAAACCAGTTCAGTGTCACACAGGGAAGGAGTGATTGCTGGCATGTAAAGTTGTTATGAGCCTATGCTAGTTGCTTAAGTGGTTTCTTTACTTTTTTTTTTTTTTTCCAGTACCGGGGATTGAACTCACGACCTTGTGCTTGCCAGGCAGGCGCTGTGCCGCTGAGCTAAATCCCCAGCCCCTGCTTAAGTGGTTTCTTTACCTCTTTTACTGTGGCAAGTTTATATTTCAAAGGATGAGAGGTTTAGTTAGGTTCATGGTTTCAGAGGATTCAGTCCATGTGTGGCTGGCAACAAGGCAGAAACAACGCAGTGAAGGGCCTGAGGGGGGAAAGCTGCTCAAGCCCCGGCCACTCCGAAGCATATACAGGAAGAGCCAGGAAAGAGAGCACACCCTTTCAGCTGGCGCCCTGGTGGGCCTCTGTTCTGGCCAGGCCTCCCTCCCGACAGTGAGTTATGCACTCATCACGGAGTCATCCGCTGATGAGCCCCGCACCCCCACGATGCAGTCACCTGCCCAAAGCCCCGCTCCCAGGGGACATTTTAGATCGAAACCGTAGCATGCTGCCCCTGGCCCCCCAAAAGGCTCATGCTTGTGATGTCAATTACATTTAGCCTATACCTAAGGGCTGTAAAATCTTAAGTTTAGCGTTGTTGAAAAGTGTAAGACCAAAGTCTCTTCTGTTACCCAAGGCCAAGTTAGCTGTGAGCACCCTTAAACATCAAAGTTAAATAGTTTTAACACACAATGGCATGGAATGGAACTTTTATTTTATTTATTTATTTATTTGTTTATTTTTGTCCTTTTTGAGACAGGGTCTCGCTATGCAGTCCAGACTGGCCTTGAGCTCACTTTGTAGCCCAGGCTGGTCTCCAACTCACAACGATCCTCCTGCCTCAGTCTCCCCAGTGCTGGGATTACACACGTGAGCCACCACGCCTGGCCCTTATTTTTTCCTTCATGTTCACATATTTAATTCACAGCTTTATGAGAACTGAGAGTCTCTAGTGTTCTGGGAGGGCTTTTCCTTCTCAAGTTCATTATTGTCTGTTTTAAAGAAATCTAGTCAGATTATAGGTGTGTGCCACCACGCCCAGTTATTTTATTTATTTTTGATAGGGTCTTACTTTGCAGTTCAGGCTGCCCTTGAACTCATTATGTAGCCAATGCTGGTCTCAAACTCACAGTGATCCTCCTGCCTCAGCCTCCCAAATGCTGGGATTACAGGCATGGACCACCATACCCAGCAATCTTTTATTTTACAGAGGAGGAATAAGGAATTAGAGAGGACCACTCTCTACCAAAGTAACCCTGAGTCTTGCTGCAACTCTGAATCTAGCAATGCAGCTGCAGAGAAGTGAGTTCCAAGAGCCGGCCAGCCCTGCCCGGGCCGTGTAGGCTAAGCTCACGACCTCTCCTGGGCTGGCCCCGCTCGCAGGGCGGTGTATTATATTAAATGGCCAAAAGAATACACGCCATTCTCTTTGAAGTAACTGGAACCTGGCACTGAAAGAGTTTCTCTTAGCAGAGATCTGCGGTGAGACCAGAAACTTTAGACAGACCAGAACAAGATTCTAGTTACTATGAAGAAACTCTGCCTCGTGCGAATGGCATGAACACAGCTACATCCTAATGAAAAACTGTTTCACTTCCTCCCCGCCTTCTGTCCATTCAGCCGCCAGATCCGGGCCTCTTGCCGCCTCCCGTGTATATGGTGGGGGAAAAGTGAGATCTGGGTGTTGATTCTTATCTTTGCCACATGTGTTTTACTCAGAGACTTAAAGAAAAAAACCTAAAACCCTTCTCAGGAACAAAAGCTTGGTTAATATCAAGAAGTAGGTTTCAAAATGCCAAGTTCTTTTGCCAAAAAATATTGCTAGTTTTTGCTGTGTGTGGTTTGTGAATTTATCTTAAAGCAAGATTTTAGCCGGCAAAAATAAATAAATAAATAAATAAATATTTTTAGCCGGGCGTGGTGATGCACGCCTGTAATCCCCCCACTCAGGAGGCTGAGGCAGGAAGATTGTTGTGAGTTAAAGCAAGATTTTAGCCGGCAAAAATAAATAAATAAATAAATAAAGATTTTAGCCAGGTGTGGTGGTGCACGCCTGTAATCCCCCCACTCGGGAGGCTGAGGCAGGAGGATCATTGTGAGTTCGAGGCCAGCCTGGGCTACAAAGTGAGCTCAAGGCCAGCCTGAACTCTGCATACTGAGACCCTGTCTCAAAAAAAAAAGATCTTAACACACAATTTGAAGTGCTGGCTAAACAAGCTCGTTTGTGAGTGAGTCTGAGAACAGCTGGAAGCTGGTGCAAGGGCTCACGAGCATCTCTGCGGTGAGGGGACATGTGGGAGTCGGTGGTCTCTCAGTGGTCCCCGGGAGGAAACGGTGAGAGGATACAGAAAATAAAGACACGAGATGATAGCCCAGGTGGAGTTACCTCTTGCCTGATGAGCAAGAGGACTGACTCCCACAGATGGGGCGTTTATTTTATACACTTGCAAAGTAGTATCCTGAGAGATAATGTTGCCTAGAGACTAAGACTAAGACTGAGACTGTAATTGTCCAAGCAGGGTACTTTTTTCAATACTGAGGTAGCTTGACTGCCTGAGGCACTCTGGATCTGTCCCACCCTCAGACACACGACCAACTCCAGCAGCTCCCAACAGAGACACACACACCTATTATTGCATCACTGTCCCTTAATTAGCTTAGATGTAACGCAGGCTGGCCTTGAACTTGTGATCCTCCTGCCTCAGCCTCCAAGGTGCTGCGATTACAAGTGTGTGCCACGCTGCCTGGCCCATGATTTACACTGCCTGTACAGAAGCACCCCCTTTACATGTGGATGGTTTTAGAATAATTTTTTTACAGTAAGTGTGTCACACGCTGTGCCTTGCTAGACACAGCCACCATCATGCGGCTTGTCGGCCTGAGTGCTTCCTGATCCCGCCGTTCACACCTGGGTCAAGCATCCTTCACGCCTCTGTAAATGACACGGGCAACTCCTGAACTTGGGGCTCACGCGGCGCAAGGCTGTAACTCTCCTCGTGAGAACCAGCACGGACGTGACACTGGCACCCGAGAACAGGGCAGGCACCGCAGCGGGGGCGGGGGACACTGACAAGCCATTAGGACTGTGGAGGTGGGAAAAGCACAGAGGACCCGGAACTGCTCGGGCTGTGGAAGGAAACATGCGCTCCCCTGGGGCTGCCTCGCCAACTGCCCGCCACCGCAGTCGCCTCTCAGGGCTTTAGTCCCATGGAGAAGGAGACCACATCGCCCAACAAAGTGAAACTACCTACCGAAAGGGGCCTTCTAATCAGGAACCTGAGGGGAGATAACTGCGCTTTGAAGGTTTACGAGCCACTGCGTCTGCTCAATCGCAGTGCTCCGTGTGAAGCTCAGCAATGAAGGTGAGGCGGATGCACAGGCCGGAGCATGAAGGCAGGGACGCACCGCTGAGGCCCGTCTTTCTCCTCCTCTTCCTCCCTCCCCACAAGCTGCCTTTCTGTACTGGAGCTTAGACCAGGCAGTGATGAGCTACAGCCCCAGGCCTTTTCATTTTTACATTTTGAGACAGGGTCTCATTAGGTTGCCCAGGCTGGCCTGGAACTTGTCATCCTTTGGCCTCAGCCTCTGGGTAGCTGGGAGTACAGGCGCGGGCCCCTGCACCTAACAGGAGTAACTTTTTTTTTTTTGGGTACTGGAAATTGAACTCAGGACCTTGTGTGCTTGCCAGGCAGGCACTCGTGCTGCTGAGCTATATCCCCGGCCCAGGAGTAACTTTTTTTTTTTTTTTTGAGACAGGGTCTCACTATGTAGTCCAGGCTGACCTTGAACTCACCATGTACTCCAGGTGGCTTCGAACTTGCAGCGATTCGCCTGCCTCAACCTCCTAAGTGCTGGGATTACAGGCGTGCGCCACCAGGCCTGGCCTGACAGCATATTCCTGGGAGGCAGTGCCGCGAGGTCTGGGCTGCAAGGGCCTGGTGCGTGTCACAAATGGGCGCCACCTGTTGCAGTGCGCTCACTCTCCTGAAACCAAAGGCCGAGCTCTGGAGCCGTGGTCATCACCAGGGCCGCATCTGCCAGCCGCACTGAGGTCAAGAGCAAAGCCTTGACCGGCTTTTCTGCTAGGAACTTAAACAGAAGTCTGAAAAATACTTCAAACCCTCAAATCAGTATAAATAATTGAACAACAGCAGGACAAAATATAAATTCAACTCTTTCAGTCTGAGTATTTCACTGGTTTGCTCATGTTTGCTAAAGTCACGAGAAACAATGACACGGGCAGACAGACAGCACGGTCCTCCTGCTGCAGTTGTGCCTCACGAAAGCTCCGCGTTCTGCTCTCCGCCGCGGGGCCAGCGGACTCCATGGAACGGCGCGGACCCAGCTGCTCTCCTGGGAACACAGCCGCGCCCCACTCCTCTCCCTGCAGGAGCGAGGCCTCAGGGCTTGCTTGCTTCTTTCTCCTCGGCTACTGTGTCCCAGATTGGCTCCTTGATGTGTTCCGGTAATTGTTTTAATTGTGTCTAAAACAAGAAATAAAGGCTGGGGATATAGCTCAGTGGCACAAGCACCTGTCTGAAAAACACAAGGTCCTGAGCTTGATTCCCAGCACCACAAAAAAAAAAAAAAGAAACAAGACTATAACACAATGGACTCAGGTGAGCTGTACGAACTGGATTTAGTAATCTGTCAACTCCTCTTCACTTTTTATAGACAGGAGGAAGTGACATCCCCTGACCATGGTGACAACCCCACTCCCAGGTAGCTCTGGGTCCCCGTCATGGGGACCAGGCTGGGGCTGCAACACACACACGGGGACAGTGTGGAACCCTCGCAGGCAGAGACTCCACTCATACCTTGGTTACTTCCATGGCGACCCCTTCGGGTAAGTTTCGCTGAATGTACTCCAGGTAGACATTTGCCGTGCATCCAGTCAGATGCTGTAACTGCAACCCCAGACAGGAAAAGGGCTCATGTTATGCTTGCTACGCAGAAAGTTTTTTTTTTTTTTTGATATCAGTGCTGGGATTGAAGGGAGGGCCTCCTCCCTGTCAGGAAAGCACTCTACCATTGAGCCACACCCCGGCCCTTCTTATTTTTCTTTGAGACAGGATCTCATTACATTGCACAGGGTGTCCTTGAATTTCGAATCCTCCTGACTCAGCTTACAAAACAGCTGAGATTATACGCAAGCACCGCTGTGTCTGGCTTAAAGCAGAAATCTTTTAAGGTTTTTACTTTTGGTAAAGTGGTGGCGCCTGTACGTCCCCTAAGTAATCTCACAGGATCTGAACGTGTTCAGGCCCGCTGTGGGACCAGGTGAGAAGTGCAGCCTCGGTGGTCCCTCCAGACGCCACCGCCTGAGAGCTGGGGCTCCGGCCTGTATCACGGGGAGCAAGCACAGTACCAGAGTGGGACTCGGAAGTTTCACAAAGCAACTCATGACAACAGGAAACAGGAGGCTAGATTTTAAGATAAAGTTAAGTTTGAGATTGTTGGTGTGCTTCACAGCAAGATGACTGACAGACATGGGTGGGTGAAGTTTGGGGGCTTCCTCTTTCCCTTAAAAGTAGGCTGCCAGGGGTGGTGGCACCTGCGTGCTTTACACACACATTTCATTTAATCCAAGTCCTGCTCTCCTGGCCCTGTGGCCACATGAATGAATGGTAACACATGGCAATGGAAACCCGGAACTGCAAAAGAATTTAACTAGATTTGTTTTGCATCTCTAGATGTATTCACACTCTAAGGATGGTGTTGAGTTTACTTTCTTTTTCTTTTTTTTGTCTTTTGAGGCAGTTCAGGCTGGCCTTGAGCTCACTCTGTAGCCCAGGCTGGTCTCGAACTCGGAACGATCCTCCTGCCTCAGCCTCCCGAGTGCTGGGATTACAGGTGTGCGCCACCACGCCTGGCTGAGTTTGCTTTCCTTTTCCTTTCCTGTAGCTTCCATAAACAGAAAAAGATACGCATGGGCTGCTGACAGGAAGTCAGCTGAGTCAATGTTAAAGGAAAGCTGTGATGGCTGCTAGTGTGAACCTGGGTATTTCAGAAGTGCCCGAGCAGCTGTCACAAACCCACCTCCAAACATCTATAAAGCGTTCTCATTTCATACTGCACTCTGTGCTTCTTGAAAATATGCACGGACTTGAGAAGCGTAAGCCGCTCTATTTTCCGGGGCGGCTCATGCCTGAAATGAAGGGACACACAACCAAGTTAACCTGCCTGCAGGTAAGACCTGAGTCACTGATACCAAAGCGTGATTCCGTGGCTTGGTCGGCCAGGCTCACAAATTACAGGCAGCAGCTACCATTTAACGACGTCATTAGTCAGGACTGTCATCTCTAACAACAACTGCTGTCAAGCAGCTCAGGCAAAATAAACACCAAGAGAGTGACAGGAACCTCCTCCCACGGACCCAAAAACAAGCATGAGAACGGCAGGGAGCACGCGTGCGCGCACACGCCCTGCTGCTTTTATAACCTCTGAGTTCCTTGTTGCCTAAATACACCAAGTATGAAGGCAGTAATAGCACATTATTACTATGATGTCTGCCATGTAACAGCACATTAGCTGTGATGTCTGCTATGTATGTGCTGTTTTAGGAAAATTTACAGATAGGCAATCAGAAAACTATAGTCTATTTTGGAAAACACGGGATGTATCGGCCGAAGACCGTCACAGCCAGGGGTCTGGGGTGTCTATTGCCCTGCGCGGCCACCCTGGCTCACGGAAACTCAGACACGAGGGCTTCTTGCGCCTCCTCCGGTCAATGGAGTTTCCAGATTTCTCTCATCTTCCTTTCGCTCTCCCAGTGATCATCGATTCCGATGGACAGGGCGGGACGGTCCTGCGTAAGAGTAAGGCAGGGCCTAACGCAGCTCTAACCCCGTGACTTCCAGTCCACCTTAGCAGCTCAGACCGAGCAGGGATGGGTGCTGGTTCCCGGCTGATCACAGTACAGCAGCCAACGGGTCCCTGGAGAGCAGGGAGACTTACACTTTAATAGAGAGACCGAGTTCTTTAGCGGCAAGCACGGCAAAATATTCGTAACTATCCAGTACAGCCTTATCGTGGGCTTTTACTAAAATTGACAGGCGTTTGTACAGTATGTCTGGTTCATCAGAAACCGTTATCTAAAATCAAAAAGAAAAGTTCTGGTTGTGATTTCTTTTATAGTTGTCACAAGGAAATTCAGCGCATTAACTTTAACTGATGAATTTCAGAGTTTACTAATAAATGCAGAGCAAAGCGCGGAGGGAGACCTCAGGCCTGTTAGCCTCGTTGCCCACATCCTATCGCGTGTGGATGGGCACAATGGCCCTGGACTCTGAAACGTGGTGTGGAGCCGATGGACCTACGAAGTTACAGTGGAGCATCCCAACTTAGCAACTGCTGAACCCCAGGGTCACAATGAAGGACTTCAAGGGCAGCTAACAAAGGCAGCCTGGTCAGAAGACCTGGATTTGAATTCAGCTCTCCGCTCACCCCTGAAGGACAATGAGCAAGGCAGACTCTCCTCGCCCCTGAGCTCCTCACGGGGAGTAGGGTAATAATACCTGTACTACAGGTCCCAGAGTCTCTGTAAGGAAAAGTACGCAAACACAACATTACAGTACTTATAAACTGTTAAACACTGTTCTACAAAGTATAGTATCTTTTTTATTAGGTTTTATCTATGTATGTTTTTGCAGCCTTAATACACAAATTACTCACGTCCAATGGAAATTGATGACACTGACTGTACCTGCAACTTCTACCTCTTCCACCCTAAGACCTAAAGACCTTAGAAATAATGGGTTTGACATTTCTGACTTTCCTCCAAGAGGTGAATTACCTTCATTTCATTCACTCATTAAACCCACAAATTATATTGCTAATCCGATGATTCAGGGTTAAATGACTTCACTCTGAAAAGAGATCTACTTACTAACCAGGAAGTTGAGTGTCTACTCTCAATTACCGCTGTTGGGAAAACAGAACGTACTAACACCCTATGTCAAAAGCTGGGCTGGACAAGAGAAAAGGACCCTAAGATGAGTTCTGACTGATCCCTGGAGGGTTTTATTTAATTTTAATTATTTAATTGTATTTATTATTTGTTTTTTTTGACACAGAGTCTCGCTGTGTAGTGGCTTTGAACTCAATACACAGACCAGCCCAGGCTGGCCTCACACTTGCAGTGAGCTTCCTGCCTCAACCTCCTGAGTGCTGGGATTATTGGTGTGTGTCACCACATCCAGTTTATTTTATTTATTTATTTATTTATTTGTCTTTTTGAGACAGGGCCTCGCTATGCAGCTCAGGCTGGCCTTGAGCTCACTTTGTAGCCCAGGCTGGTCTCCAACTTGCAACGATCCTCCTGCCTCAGCCTCCCGAGTGCTGGGATTACAGGCCCGTGCCACTATGCCCGGCTTATTTTAATTTTTCATAGCACTGGGCACAGAACCCAGGGCTTTGGATAGGCAAAGCAAGAGCTCTACCAGTGAGTTACGTCCTAGATACCCTTACAGGGTTCCCCGGTCTCCTGTGGCTACAGTGTGTCACTGTGCCTGTCCAGCCACCTCTTCTTGGGGCCGGGCCCTTGCAGGCATCTAGGGCGGAGACCAGGGTTTATACGAAACACATCTAGATCTATTAAGCAAAAGCAACAGCGAGCACTGAGTGTAATACTGTTCCATTTCAGTGTGCATAACGGCCAAAGGTCTACAACGGCTCAGACCTAACAGTGAAAGGGGAATTTTTCTGAAGCGTGGAAACAGGATTCAGGCTGATGGGATCGGTGCTTTATAAGGTGGTTACACAGCCCCCCCTGGACTCCCAGTATTCGCACTAATGCCCTTTCTCACTGCGACAACGAGGCAACGTTCAGGCCCGGGCTCAGCACTTGAAATAGAAACAAAGACATGAAAGCTAGTAAGAAAATGTTTTTTCACAATGTAACAGCTGCATTCTGCATCATTCATTATTACAGCTTCTCAGTTATGCTGCGCTAAGTGCAGGAGACTGCTTACTACACTTGGGGAATCCGTCCTTTAGAACTCAGCTGGATGCCCGGAAGGAAAATACCCAAGCACACGGGACACTGGAGAATACGCATGCTGCACATCTGCCGGCTTCCCAGGAAAATGCTTTTACCCTCCAAGTGTTGGGAAACGAGCCCACAGGAAATAATAACGAAAAGTGATTTCATTTCTGTGACGAAATAAGGACCACGTACCGTAGGTTTGGTCAAATCCTTCGGGACATCGATGTGTAGGCTTGAAAACTGCACCCACTTCATGCTGGTGCTGCTGTGTGGGGAGAAGAGAGCTAAGCAAGACGGCCTCGGCGAAGCCCGTCTCCAGGCCCCGCTCAGCACGGCCGCGGTGTACTCACAGGAGAAAGCCGCTGCTCTCCGTCGTACTGCCCCTAAAGCTGGGCACGGACAGATTCCTCAAGCCCTTGAAAAAAGCAGGGAGGAGGACATGGGTTCCAGTTAAAGTCAATTCCCAAACCCCCCAGTTTCCACTGAAAATCAAAGGTTGCACAACGCCTTGGATAAAGACTCTCTCACCCTCTCAGAGGAAGACACTGGGGAGCTAAATTGTCTGACTAGATTTCTTTAAAACAGACAATAATGAACTTGAGAAGGAAAAGCCCTCCCAGAACACTAGAGACTCTCAGTTCTCATAAAGCTGTGAATTAAATATGTGAACATGAAGGAAAAAATAAGGGCCAGGCGTGGTGGCTCACGTGTGTAATCCCAGCACTGGGGAG